GTCCCGAACGAACACCGCCGCAAAATGACATCTCTGACCCGAATGTCAACAAAGGGGCGGAGCGAGCCATGACATCACGACACTTGTTCCGCCCCTTCGTTTACATTCCAATACAGCCTCCCCTAGTGGAATGTCAACAAAGGGGCGGAACAACTCCCATGACGTCACGGCTCGCTCCGCCCCTTTGTTGACATTCAGCATGTTCGGATGGGTCGGCGGGCATGGGGTATTTTTTCTTTGGGTGAGTCGGCGGTCGACATCCGTCGTGAAAGGGGGGCACCCGGATTCCTATAAGCCCCCCCTGCCCGCAGATCCCCACAACCACCGGGCCAGGGCTGTGAAGAAGAGGCCCTTGTCCTCATCGACACGGGGGACAAGATGCTTTGCCGGGGGGTCCCACCCTGGCAGAGCACGCTCCCAATGTTGAGGGTATGTGGCCTGGTATGGTGCAGGAGGAGGGGTGGGCCACGTGCTCGCCCCCCCCCCCTTTCTTTCTCTACCAGTCTCGCAGTGAACGTAACCCCTCATTTCCGCCACGTATGTCCGCGTCCAGATAATAGTTGATGAGCGGCTTTCTGATGCTGATTTTCCACTGCTGACTACTCAGCGGCTGCCTCTAAAATCTGCCTCTACGTTGCCTCACTCTGCTCTACAATACTGTCACCACGGCGAACGTGCGGCAGCTCTGCTTCATTAAACCTGATTATCAATAAGAGAGGTTTCCATGGCAGAGGAGGATCACCTACGTTGTACAGCGCCGCTACCCTGACCCCGGACGGCGAGATTTGAATAGCGAGTTTTATTTGCTCTGTAAAAGGGAAGTGAACTTGTTCCTCATTAACCCCTTCCTGACTGGACGCTCGGCATCGCAAACCGGCATTCCTGCCCTTGTTCCCTGCGGCTGTGGTAAGAGACCTCCATCATCAGAGATGGTACGTCGGACCTGGACTGGAATAACATACTTTTATAGTACTGAGCAGTCATCCAGTGTGAGGAGCTTCCTGTAATGAAGACCGGTCACTGCATCTCTCTCCTTGTGCAGGGTGACTGGTCTTGTCTCCGCCCCCTCCTGTAATAAAGACCGCTCACTGCTGCTCTTCCCTTGTACAGGGTGACTGGTCTTGTCTCCGCCCCCTCCTGTAATAAAGACCAGTCACTGCTGCTCTTCCTTTGTACACGGGGAGACTGGTCTTGTCTCCGCCCCCTCCTGTTAAAGACCGGTGTC